AAAATATTTGACAACAGCAACTTTAAAAGGGGAGGGTTTATTTTGGGTTACTGTTGAAAGAGGGGTATGGTACATCATGATGGGGAAAGCCTAACAGTAGCAGGAACATGAGGCAGTTGTCACATTGTGTCTGTCCTCAGTCAGGAAGAAGACAGGAATGTTGATACTCAGCTCATTTCTTTTTATTCATTCTGGGCCCCTAGCTCATGGGATGGCCTCCACTTCCCTCCTCCATTAAACTTTTCTAGAAACGCTCATAGATGCACCCAGAGGTGTGTTTCCACAGTGATGTAAACTCTGGTCAGGCTGGCCACAAGTATTAGCTATCACAATAGTTTTGTGAACCATGACCTAGACAGTTTTTCAGGTTCCTCAAGTGTGGAACAAGAGTCAAATTAAAGACTGACATTGTAATGTTCAGAGCTTTATGGATTCTTCAGGAGACTTAGATCTGTTTTTCCAAATTTATGCTGTGGAAAAGTATGCTTACAACTTTTCTTTGTACCCGAGATATGTCTGGGGTGTAATTACTGTATATATGTGTTTAGACATTAACATAAAATTATTCTCAGTCATAAATGGTCTAATATTAGCAGTTGATTGCAGAAGACATTGGGCTTGAATTGTTTAATTTAATGCTAATTTGCTTCAAGTGCAAACACTCATCAGGAACATTAGGTAATTATCATTTAGGTACAGGACCACAATATATGAAGTCTACAGTTCCATTTGAGTTATTTTGCTACTCATGGCTGTAACATGAATAATAAAAACCCAGAGACAGATATAGGGTTAAAGCTGAAGATCAGAGAATCAGAGCAGTAAGCCACTAGAGATACCTTTTACCTCTACCAATGCTCAGACTAAAGGGGCAATTCCCAGACTTCACTGTGTCTCCACCAAACCTCAGACTCCATACTTTAGTGAGTTCCTATCTTTTCCTAATTATATTTTTCTCTCCACCCAGTCATATCACTCCTGTCTACCTCCCTAGTGCTGGGATTAAAGGTGTGTGACTTCCAAACACTGGGATCAAAGGTGTGAGCCACCACCACTTGGACCTGTTTCTGGGTCAATCTTGTGTAGTTCAGTGTAGCCTTGAACTCACAGAGATCTGTCTGCCTCTGCTTCCCAAGTCAGAGATTAAAGGTATGTGTCACCACCAGTGGCCTCTAGTGGTATAGCTTTTCTCTCTGGTCTTCAGGCAAGCTTTATTTATTAAAATACAAATAAAATATTACCACATTTCCTCTTTCTGTCTAAAATAAAAAAGAAGGCTATAACTAGTATAAGAGAAACTACATATATATAACAAATACAATAGCTATATACAATATATACAGGCAATAAGTAAGCCAACAATGTCTAGTGCATTTGCGTTTTACAAATTCAGAGAAAATACTTGATTATATATCCTATCTTGGTGATTCCAAAATCTTGTACCTAATTGACTTTCTGTCTTAACTTGCGTTACCATCCAAAACTATCTTTACTATATCTCAACCTTATACATTTTACACCTCTTTAGTGAGTTTCTTTTCTGCATCTGGCAAACAAGGAAAACAATAACTATCTAGTCTTAATCTCCCTCAGAGACCCAAGAAGGAAATAATATTAACTGAGTAAGCAGAAAGTGCAAGCAAGCCACTTCCAAAAAATGCAAGAAATGACAAAAACAGCTGACTTCCTGGACAGTCACCCAAGGTTCCTCTGCAAAGTCAGGGCATCCATCTTTGGTCTATAGGCCTAGCATATCCAACAGACTTTTCTGTGAAGCAGGATATTCTGAAGGGCTGTCCCTCCTTCTCTTGATAATGTTTGGTAGTCTCTTTTTTTGTGCGTCCTGCTTGTGTGACAGCATACTGTCAGCAGTGAAGGCAAGGGCATTTTCTTGCCCAGTGGCTTACTTTTGCAACAAAGAAAATAACTTCAATGTAGAGGTTTTTTTTGATGCCCACCATCTTCTCAGAAGTATATTGGTTCTTCAAGGAGCACACATGTCTTATTATGGTAAAAAAAAAAGCCTATGCTATTAAGATATTTTAAATGCCATATTCTGTAGAGCTACGACTGTTTGAAGATGACCTGTCTATCTGAGAAATATATATTTATTTGACCTTGAAAACATACCTAATGTGATTACAAGTTCAATTGTAATAGGCAGTTAACTACTAACCTGCATTTCCTTATTATTCTAAACAGTTGGTAATAATAATTTTCAAGGACTAGATATTTGCATTACATTAATAAATGAGTTATATAGGTACAATACCTTAAACAAGAGTAGAAATGTATGTACAGTATGTTCTAACAAATTAATTTTAAATTTGTATCACTATACAAAATATTTATTTATCAATATATACAAGTATTTGCATACAATATACAAATGTCCAATTCAATGTAAAACACTTAAAACTGCTGCTTTTTAAAAGTAGATTCAATAATCTACCTTTTTGTCTTATTTTATCTATATCCTCCCTTTTCTTCAGAGTAGAATCAATAATTTACTTTTTTTATCCTATTATATCTATATCTCCCTTTTTTCTTTTCAAAGCAAGAACCTTGTATCTAATTTCCTTTATTTAACTTTTCCCTTCACCATTACCAATAACAGCTTTTAATCAATCTCCCCAACAATGACAAATATTCATAACCCAATAAAAGATCAAAAAACACCCACCCCACCTCTTGGGAATATAGGCATCATCTTCTTAAATTTACTTCCTGTTGTCTGGGGGTGGCAGTATCTTTAGGGGATTCTGAAAAGAAAAAAATGGGTCCTGGGAGAGGTAGCTGTGTCATTTGTTGTCAAGTCTCTGCATAATGGGAAGAGCAGGGCTTGTCTCAAGGTCAACTATAGGGAAGGGACAAACATGCATATTCATTATAGAGATCTGTGCTGGCAAATCTTGGTTGTTAATGCCTGCTTTTGTTGACTCTCTTATATGAGGTACCTACCAAATCTTGGAGAATATTTTTTTTAATGTAGTTTGCTTAAATATACACTCAATCTAAGGATTAACCTGTGTGTGTGTGTGTGTGTGTGTGTGTGTGTGTGAAGAATTCTGTGTGTATGAGTAAAGAGAACAAAAGAGAGGCACCCAGATCTCTTCATTTTTATCAGTTTGTAAGTGGTGAAACCAGGTCCTAATAAGTTTATCTAATTTGCCCAAGACCACAAAATGATGACTTCTAACAATGTTTTACTTCACTGTCGTGGGCACTTTCAGAAGTTCTCTCAGTGCTTGTTGGCAAGTTCAGGATAAGAGCATCCTTAGTGTGAGAAACAGATGCTGTTTATTCCAACATTGTACAGGTGAGGAAGCTGAGGCAAAGAAAGGCTATCACAAACCATCTTCTCTTGAGCACATTGCCAGTAGTGGCAGAGCCAGGATTGGAACTCCGGCACTTTAGTTTCAGAATCTGCTCTTAGCCAAATGCATTCTTGATTAGAATAGAGAGTTAAAGGAAAACTGAGACCAGAGCCTGAATCCATTTCTTCCTTTCTAAAACACTAGGTGATTTAAAAACATAGCCTCTTGATATTTAAAATCAAATAATGCAAGAGTTGCAGTACATGCCTATAATCTCAGTACTCAGAGACAGAGGCAGGAGGATTGAGTTATAGATTCAAGGGTATCCTAAGTTTCATGAGACTCTGTTTCAATACAAAATAAAAAGGGGCTGGGGAGAGAGTTCAACCTGTAAAGTAATTACTGTACAAGAAAGAAGACCTAAATTCCACCTCCCAGATTCACCCATGTTAGAGAAGCTGGTGCAGTGGTATGTGTGTGCCATTACACAGCTGAACAGGAAGACAGAAAGACCCTTTGAGCTCACTGCCCCAACTAGTGAGCTCTGGGTTTAGTGAGAGACTTTGAATCAAAATATTGGATGGAGAGGTACATATATACACATGCATATACACACGTACACATTCATGCATGCACACATATATACATACATGCATGCACACAGGCACATATACAAGAGCACACAGCCATGCACATACATGTGCATACACATGCAAACACATAAGAGTACGCAGGCATACACACATGCTCACACACATGCATGCACACATATGCATATATATACACAGAGAGCAACTAAAAATACCTGAGATTTGCAGCCATATTTTGCAGATTTTGTCCTCTCATAGGAGGCCTATGAAGGCAGGTCTCCATATCTATATTTCCCTGGGGAAACTTGAATAAGTGCGTTCATTAGTCGATAATCAATAATGAGTCACACGAGCCAAAGCTAATGGCTGATTATGAAGTGTTTCCATTTGTAAGGCATTTCTCCCCCAGAAATTAGCTAAACTCTTCTAGGAATAATTTTCATATCTTATTTGTTAATGGCTTTCCTGGCTCTTCCTTAAGATTGTGGTCCTATATCTAACCTTCTCCACATATTCTAGAGTGCTTCATATTTGATCAGTACAGCATTCATTACTCATGGAGTTACCTACCTGTCCATCAAATTCTGGTGTCACTATTTGTCATGATTATGTCCCCAATCTAAATATCCCAGGCAGTGTGATCCTACTGGGGAGTGCTTGTTTCAGCCCTTGAGCCCATCACCAGCTGGGGTTTACCCTTGTCTAACAGCCATGCAGAATGAGCAAATTGTTTGGTTGTAGCTATTGGCACGCCTTTGCTGTCACAGTTGATGCTTGCTTATTTCGTCTGTGGTTTCTGTTCTCATTGTGGAGTTACAGCACAATGGAAAGGTGTTTGCTGGGGCCTTCAGGGAACTAGGATGGAGCTCATTTGGTACCCACGCACTATTGGTTTGACATGATCCTCCATCCCTGCATCTTTTCAATGGAGCTCAGACCTCACCCCAGACAGTGTCATATTGTTCCACAAGTACATGGGACAGGACTTCAGATTCCACAGAGGCTATGAGAAGCATGAACCTCCTGGTTTTCCACTGTGGAAGAGGAACAGAGGCAGGTGGAAGTTAATCAGTTGACTTTTCTCTCTTCCCAGGCACTTGTGAGAAAAATTGATACCTCAGACAACATCTACATCATGGAGTCTACCACAGGGAACCTGTTCAGCCTGACCCAGGAGGGGGCTCCTTTGTGTCGCATCATAGCCAAGGTGAATTTCGGGGTTGGGGACCAGAGAGCGAAGGAGGAAGATCTGCCTGTTGGGTAGGTGGGAACAGCTGGCTCAGATTTGTCTTGGCCAAACTTTCTGTGTGACTTTGGAAGAGCCACTTTTCTCCGTGTTTCCTAGACCCCATGATTTCATTTCCCAACTGACACAAACGGATATGGTAGTTAGGGTTCCCCAAAGGAGCATAACTTATGAAATGCATCTATTAAAGCAGGACTCATTAAAATGTATTGCACAGTGCCATCTGGGTAGTCTAGCAATGGCTGCCTTCACATTCGAGAGATTGAGAGTCAATAGCCACTGAGGCCTGGGAGATTACTGGAGATCTGCTGGCTTTATTCCGTATTGGAAGACTGAAAATTCTGGTTTCCAGTGTCAGTAGAGGATGTGGTGGATGCAACAGGAACTACAAAGATGATGAGCTTGGGAACAGGTTTGCAAAGCGTAGATGAACTTGCCAGCAAGATACATAATCCAAGAAGGCAAAAAGCTAAAGTTTCTCCCTGACTTCCTGATATTCAGGCCACTGCTAGTGAATAACACCCACATTTAGGGCGAGTCTTCTCACTTCAACCATCCTACTCGAGAAAATCCCTCAGAGCTGTGTTTCTTAGTTGATTTCAGACTCAGCCACATTGAGAGCCAATATTAATCATTGCAGATATGTCCACAGAAGTCTGCCGTCTTTCTAACAAGGCACCTGCCACAAATGTCAACCCTTCTTTCCCATTCTATACGTCTCTTCTTGACAATGTGGGGTCCCTGGTGTCTGTCTATAAAAAATGTAGTGATTCAAAGACCATTTGGAATATAGCAACATTGCCATAAACAGATAAATAAATCCATAAACATTGATTTTATCGGCCTCCTTTCATTGTGGAAGTAAGAGATGTAGTGTCTTAAACTCAGTTCAAAAAAACCCTTTTTAGGTACAGCCTTACCTGTAGCTAGGCTCCATTCAAATCCCTTAATAGCTTTCACTATACCTTCTACCCCATAATAGTTAGCAGCAGCGTTTTCAGAAGAAAAAAGCAGAAAGTGTCTGTAAACAGGGACTTCATCTTGTCAGACACGTGTGTTCTTATTGGATCTATCTGAATATCCCCTTCTAAGCTTCTTGGTCAGATCCTCAAAGGCCCATGGCCACTCCGGCACTGTATGAGAGGAAGAGGGAATAAACAAGACAACGGTGTGAATCACCAGCTTCCTGGCTGACTCACTCTGGACTGTGGCTCTAGGGCCAAAGTTCGGTTTATTGCTGTCTTCCTTTGGCTTGGGAAAAGAAGCTACGTGAGCTAGTGACCCGAGTAGAACTCAGTTCTTTCTTCTGGAGATTCAGATGCCAGTCTCAGGAGGAGGATCCATGTGTGTGGCCTCCAGTCCCCTCTGGATAGCAATCCTTCAGAGAGTTTAAAAACACCGATATCTTGCAGTTCTGGGCAATGCTTGGGACTCTTCATTTCAGCAAGTTCTCTGATGATAAATCTCAGAGTCACTGATCAAAGCCCTTAAAGAAGTGAAACTTGGGTAAAGGCTTGTCAGCTCTGGTCAGGAAGCAAGTGGATTGTGTTTAATGGCAATAGCTAACATTATATCTCTATCAGTCATGTCTTGCATAACTTGGTTCTTTTAAAACATGGAAACAGCCTACGTAGTGGGGACTCTGTTGTTCCTGAAAGACCCTCAGGAGGAGACCTCCCCGATGCCAAGGAACAGGCCGAGACCAGGCGGATGCAAATCGCAAGAGGTTTATTGGGTAAACACAGGTACCTGCGGGCGGCAAGTCTTTGGGCAGGTTTTTTATAGGGAAGAGCAAAAAGCAAGTTTACAGAAGCAAAAAAAGCGTGGTTATCGGAATGAGGCGGGGGCATGAATGGTTTCCTCTCTCAGCATGGGTGTCAGCAAAAGTCATCCTGTTCCTATCTTATAGATATCCTGTTTTGCAGTCAACCTGCTTTGTTGATGTCTTATCTTATTGATATCCTGCCTTGCAGTCTTCCTATCTCATCCTGCTCTCTCAAGCACATGGGATGTTCTTACAAGAGCAGGCTGGCTGCTGCAGGTTTTGAGGAGGGGGTCTGTAGGGTCTTTCAGTTCCCATTTATAATAGAGTTTATGACTTGCAGAACTTACCCAAAGTCACAGAGCTAATAAATGGGTCAGTTCAGAATTAGAAACCAAGAGCTCTGGTTCCAAGTTCATGGCCCCAAACCCACAGTAGTGACTCCTGGTTCAAGCCTTAGGCCAAAGTGTGACCCAGAAGCACGGGAGGTTAAAGCAATTTCTGATTCTGTTTTAATTAGTCTGGAATGGTAGATAGGTTTATTTCCCAGGTGATTTCTAATCCCTTGCTGGCTGCTTCTCTCTTTTGGGGGCGCTAGTTAAGATTTTACTTGAATGCATGTGGTTTTACTGGGGAAAAGGAAACAAGGAAGGCATTGGGCTGTCTCTCCCAAAGATCCTGTGACTCCATCATTCTCTTGGTGGCGAGTCTTGTCCTGCAGAGGTCACATGATACTGTGCAGAACAAAGACATTCTTCAACCTCTCAAGTCCAGTTTGGAGATTAAATTCCCAGACTTAGCTGAATTTCTTTTGGAACAAAGAATGCTTTTCTCTTAAAAAAAAAAAAAAGTGGCAAATCTTGGCTGGTTCTCCAAACCTCCTGTGTGCTGCTGGTGTAGACAATGCCTACTACCTGCCTGTTGCCATGTTCCTCTTTCGTGAAAACAGAAAGGAGACGTGAGTTTGAATCTAAGCCACGGGTAGTGCTTGACTTCTTGCTAGTCTCCTCAGGAGTCTGGGACTCAATCTGGGCTAACGTTGATTCCAAACACGTCCAGTGGGAGGGGAGAGGGCAGGGGAGGAAGGCCTGGGAGGGGAGAGGGCAGGGGAGG